ATTTTGAGTATGAGGTTGTAAGTTTTGACAATGTCAGAGAGAGCGTGTAAAAGGTACACACTACTTATGAGGCAGCATGTAGAAATTAACTTCACAACCTTATTAACTCAAAAATGTGGTTTTGACCATATTTTTGAGGGTTTTGATTGCCACTCGACAATACAAACATGTACTGTCGAGTGGAAATCAAAACCTCACATTATAATGTTTTCACTAATTACATAATTAAAGCCAAGCAATTGCCGAATTATATTGGGCTATACGTTATTAATTAAATGCTAATTAATTTGGCACTAGAGGCAATTGTTAGGTGCCATCTCTTGCTAAATTTAATAATTATAATTAAATTGATATTTTAATTAAAATAGTGTGTTCTGGAAGAAACGAATTGATCCAAAGTGGGACTTGAACCCACAACCCCCATTTACTATGCAGTCGCAATGCAAGATATAATACATGGACCTTCATCCAATCTTCCCTTCTATAACTTATTAATTTAGATATAGCCATGTTTGGTTACTTATGGTGTCAACTGGAGACAACTCAGCACCTACCTACTGCCTCTAGTGCCAAATTACTTAGCATTTAATTAATAATAGTAATAATAATGTAACCCAACATAATTTGGCTTTAATATATAACTATTGGGTTTGGATGTTTATATTTGTAATTACATTATTATCATCAAATTATAATTTCTCCATTTGTTAGATAAAACATCTATTTCAGAAAACCCACATCATTAACAAAATATTTCAAATAGTAACCAATCTTTCTTACCATATAACTTTTCAATACCGCGATGCTCTTTCAGCAGATCTTTCACGCAACACGGCAACCCGTAAAAAGTCTCCGAATGCATCTCCGTCCACACTTCCTTTCTCTTTTCTGCCTCCTCCAAAGCAACTGCCAAGGCGGCCTCTTTAAGAATGGGAACTTCGGAAACTTTTACAGAAACATTCTTGGCATTTTGTTTTAGCCTCTCTTTAATGAAATGAGACAAATCATTTACGCTTTGTTTTTCTTTAATATTTTCATGGCCGCCAACTGCAGTTTCCCGATCACAAAAATCCTCCGGCCGACAAGTCCCGAAATCTTTGGCTTTCGGTTCGAGCGGAACGCGAGCATCTTCTGCACGCGCAATCTCGGTTACGTTCGGTTCTTGTTTACAATTCTCTTCTACACCGATTAAATTAAATTCTTCCTCTGGAAATAGGTCGGCTTCTTCATTGGTAGTCATTGATTCTAATTCATTTTGACAGTCACTTGTAGAAGCATTAACCTTCATCCCATTCTCATCCAACTTAATATTTCTTTCCACCTCATCTAGCTTCTGGTAGACTTCCTCCATCCATGAATGATCAGAGAATTGCAAGCTTCCATCTTTGCATTCATTTTCAACGTTTTCTAATAATTTTGAATGTTCTCGAGTTTTCAAAGACTTAGAATTCGAAGTTTTACAAAAATTGTTAATTTCTTTTAAAATATTATCATCGCCGCATGTATTTTCATTAGTTAACAACTTCCTCTTTAACATTTATAATATATAAATATAACTAAAATGTTTAAAAATATAAAACTAATACTTTACACACGTTACCCGGTTTTCAAATTGTTTGCCATTGTATTCGCTACTTCAGTGTTGCCACCGACAAATGAGAAAAAATAGCCAAACTGAAAGAAAATCCGCCCAAAGTTTTATTAATATTTGTGGTCTGTAGGAACTTTTTTTAAAAAAAATATTGATTTTAAATGAATTATATATTTATAAACTTTAATAAAAACATAATTTACTTATTTCAAGAAAGAAAATTTAATAATTTGTAATAACCATTATCATGAATTTTTTTAAACGGTACAAAATCTGTAGAATAATGATCATAAAAGTTCAATTTTACTATATTAATATGAAACTCGCATGTTTAATTATAACAAATTAAAGTTCATTGCTGCTTGTTTAAAACAAGTTTATAGATTCTTCGCGATTTTCCACGAAGGGGAACGATCGCACTCACAATATTGTTTATTAGAGAGGTTGCGGCCGACGTTTTCAACGCGAAAATGTGTACGTCTGACGTTCAACGCCACCACCCTGTAAGCCTAGAAGTTTGACAATGGCGTTTGGAACGTCAGTAGAATCATGCTCGACGTTCCAAACGCCAATTGATAACAGCGGGGCTGTGGAGTCGCGTAAAAATCTACCGACTCCGACTCCGACTAGGGGCAGACTTGTTACTGAAAGAGACTCGGAAATTCTGACGTCATCACGTGACCTCAGAATAAAATATTCAATAAATAGAGTTGTAATAAAGATAGTGTGTAGAAACTTTTTATTCCAAAGCTAAAAGACTTCTGTAAGTAATATATAAATATGTATTCGATCATTTTTACTTTTCCGGCTGTTATATATAACAGAGAAAAGTGTAGCGCTCACTCAAAAAATGACCCCTCCCAAATTTTTACATTTTTGGACTCGGGACACCTTGAAATTTCGAGATACGCAAAAGATTCGAGGTTTTTTTCTATATGTGTGGATGTTAGACTGTGTGGGGGGCATGATTTCGTTCACCCTGTTTGAAGCGTAATAATTTCTATGGTCAGAGTGGTCGGAATCGGAGCCAGATGGTTTAACACTATCAATTCGGAATAACATAGAACAATATCAATTCGGAGCAACATAGAACAAATGTTAGTATTTCTAATACTTTCTTTTTGGAAAACACAACAGCCTTAGAAGTCTATAATACTATAGAAGGTTTGAAAAACAGCACTCCAGACATCAGTTTTTTAAATATTGAAATCTTAAAACACATATCTGATATTTTAGCTCAACCATTATCGTATCTGATAAATAAATCTTTTGAAAATGGTTACTTTCCGGAAAAACTAAATCAAAACTTAGTTTTGCCATTATATAAAAAAGGATCAAAAAGTGAAATTGAAAATTATCGCCCCATAATAATAGTGTCGGTGTTGGCTAAAATTTTCGAGAAGATTTTTTACAAGAGATTTTCAACTTTTATAGACAGATTCCAGGTTATTCACAGAAACCAATATGCTTATAAACGAGGATTTTCGACGGTAGATGCTTTGTTGCATTTGAAACAATCAATAACGTCAC